CCAGGTGCTGGCCGAGTTGCCCAGCCCCCTGGGCTCGTCCTCCGTTCCGCCCTGGGCCCTGCCTGCCCTCCCTGCTGACTCAGTCCTTTCTGTCCCACCCCCAGGCCAGACCAGGCAGCCACAGACTGAGGCTGGCACCCTGCAGCCACCTCCGGCCGCCAGCCCGGCCTGGGCCAATGCAGACAGCTCTCAGGATCCCACCTGCCCAGAGGCAGCCCCTCTCACCCAGGATGCCGGGGACCCCGCACGCACAGGCGGGCGCAGGCCCCCAGGACTGCCGGCTCCCTGCCCTCCGGAGCCCGAGCCCGGCTCCCAGCATCAGCTGCTTCCTTCACAGATAAAAGGCAGCAATGCTTTCAGGCTCAGAGCAAGCGCAGAGCGGGAGAGGGCGACCTGCACCCACCCTGCCGGCACCGGCCCGCCCCGCACACCCCTCCCCAGCCAGCCTTCGCTGCAGACACCCAGGGCCCTGGAGGAGCAAGAAGGGCCATGCTCAGGGCAGCCACTGCCCTCCCCGCAGCCTTCCCCAAGCTCGGCAGGACTGGGGCAGGTGCACATCCCATGAGGGCCGGCACACCGCATCCTGGTAAGCAGGGAGCAGCGCGTGGTGGCCAGGGCTGGGATTGCAGACACAAACACCCTCAGGAGCCAGAGCTACGGCCCTGGGAGGGGGGGGCAGCCCAGGGCCACAGGGCTGACAAGGGGACAGAGCTGGGGCCAGGCTGGGCTGCCCAGGGAAGTGCGACCAGGGGTCTACCAGGGAGTGCGGAGAGATTCCATATGGGGGGACAGGAGGTCGGGTGAGGAGTTTGTAGGGGCAAGCCCAGCAGCCTGCCACAAACCAGGCCTCCCTACTCTGCCCCGCTATGCCCCGCTAACACACAGCAGCCATGCCCGTGTGCCCTGGGCCGGCCAGCCTACAGCCCCATGCAGTCAGTCCACCGGGGCCCCGCGTGGCCCAGCCCAGCCTCGGCCTTCTTCCTGGGAGCCGAGCCGGCTAGGGTGGCAGCCCCAGTGTCCCCACTGTGACCGGGAGTGCATGTCGGAGTGTGCAAGCAGCAAACACCATCCCAAAGGACAGGGAAGTCTGCACACAGGCCCGTGTGGTCCCCTGGGCTCAGACGCTCCTGGGGCAGCAGCCTCTCACCCCCAGGGGACTCTGTCCTGTCACTCAGCAGTCCACGCACTCAGCTGTTGCCTGGGAATCCATCCCAGCCTTTGTGCGACTGTGGCACTGGGTGAACACGCTGGAGACAAACCCCTGCCTTTGTGGAAGTGGGAACAGAAACAAGCATAAGCAAACAACCCGCCCACGACGCCGGCATCCCCGTGAGCACCAGTTCTTATTCCGGCTGCTCTGCTCCCAGTCAGCCCCCTGCTAGTGCACCTGACAAAGCAGCAGAGCATGGCCCCAGTGCTTGGGCACCTGCACCCACACGGGAGGCTCGCACGGAGTTGCAGTCCCCTGGCTTCAGCCTGCCCCAGCCCTGGGGAGTGAACCAGCAGATCAGAGCTCTCTCTCTCTCTAAATCTGCCTTTCAAATAAGTAAGTAAATCTTTTTCAGAGGAGGGAGGGGGCTGGTGTTATGGCACAGAGAGGTAAGAACATACACACATGGGGCCAGCGCTGTGGCATAGCAGGTAAAGCCACCGCCTGTAGTGCGGGCATCCCATATGGGCCCTGGTTTGAGTCCCGGCTGCTCTACTTCCGATCCAGCTCTCTGCTATCACCTGGGAAAGCAGTGGAAGATGCCCAAGTCCTTGGGCCCCTGCACCCTCATAGGAGACCTGGAGGAAGCTCCTGGCTCCTGGCTTTGGATCGGCACAGCTTCGACCCTTGCGGCCAATTGGGGAGTGAACCAGCAGATGGAAGACTTTCCTCTCTCTCTCTCTCTCCCTCCCTCCCTCCCTCTCTTTCTCTGCCTCTCCTTCTCTCTGTGTGTAACTGTGACTTTCAAATAAATAAATAAATATTTAGAAAAAAAAAAAAAAGAACACACATACGTGGCTAACTGTGGTGCTCTGCCTCCCTGGCTACCGGTAAAATCTCCGCTCCGCAGGCCCTTGGGGGTTGGGTGGGCCACCTGAGATGCTCTGGCCAATGGGCTTCGGGCAGAAAATGCCCATCACTTCCGAGACCCTCTGCCTTAGTGACTGCCTCGGCCCAGCCAGCCCGGGCCCCTGAGGAGGGAGGGGCAGGGCTCTCAGCCACACTGGCGAAGGCCACGGTCACACT